AAGCATTTCGAGAAGGAGAGATGACTCTCCTCACCCTCGGCCGTATCAGGACATTTGGGGGCTATAATCACCTTGTCGTTATTCTATCAATTGTTTAGTGAATCATTCGATTTTTTCATAATTAATTGCGAAATGTTAGTACTACTTAATTGCTGTTCCCCACTTGAGTTCTCGTTCAATACATTTGGTGTCGCTTCCAAAGAGGAGGCGGTGAGTGTGCATTTCTGCGGACACCGTTGCGGGATACTTAATTGGGCCAATCTGGTGCAGGAAGACGTCGAATGGAGTGTTCTGGCAAGGCGATATTGGTCGTGGCAGTCGCTGTTCATGGGGGAGGATGTGGGACGTAACGGGTACTGAGCGGACATCAAATGTAAATATAAGTATAAGTAGTATGTAGCACTAATCGGAAGTGGACTGTCTGGCAGCAGAAAATTGAAATGAAGGGGACAAGAAGGAAATCGGAGAGTAATCGAAATAACAACAGAATTATAGGAATAATGGTGTATGTAAAAGACAGCGCAAAGATGTGTAGATGATGTATTTAGAGCATAGTTTTCGTATTTTACAAAGCGATTGTGTGATTTTGCATTGATTAATAAAGTAGTGTTCACCGCTTGAGTTCTCGTTCACTACACTACTATCTAACACTAGTGAATTGGTATTATTTTATTACTATAGTACATTATAAATACGTATTAGTTTAGAGCCATGATGAAAAACTAGATTTAAAAAAATATGTTTTCAATAAAGTTTAAAGATTATAGTGAAGAACGCTTTTATCACTGTGGACTAACTTTAACTTTGCATTGGTTCTTAAGTTTATTTTACAATGATTTGCTAGACTATACTGTTTTAGCTGTACATATTTCAAAAGACCCTAAATGAAGTTGTATTAAAGGATGTTAGATTTTATAGTAAGTATGATATCTTTCATTTTACAAAGAAAAGTAATCTTGGCGAACCAATTAATTAAATAATGATTGTGTACTCCTTATGGGTGATTAGCATAAGATTATCTTTCTGTTTGATCTTTCAGCGTATTTATTTTGACATAAACATGTAAATTGATTTGTATAATTCGAAATAAGAAGCATGTTTATAATGTTATGTGGATGAAGGAAGTCGAAAAGAAACCGTCGACCAAGGACTCCGAACTACATAGAACTCATAATATTGGGCAACGCTTGCTGCCTGGTGGGTTGAAACCCATATCCACTAAGTTTACAGTTCGAGATGTTACCGCAGAGCTACTGGGGTCATAACCGACTTTCTATAGGCCTGAGATACTTATAATTAATTAATTACAGTGGTGATCCATCTCATCTTTGTAAAGTGTTTTAGTGCAGATGGAATCTGATTACTGGTTCAAATGATTCGACATGCAGCGCACTATGTTGAGATAATAGGCGGTAGAATAAAATTGATGGGTGATCATGGTCATTACGTTTCGAAGGACCTTCGATTTAAAAGCCTTAAAGCCTTTAATATTCTTGATATTTACTCAACAGCAACTACCTTCTAAATGTTCTTAAGTCATTTACAACTGATATATTGAACAATGAATGAGCCAATTACATTAGTTTGTAGGTGATCTATCAACTCCGCCTGGAGCCCACTGGGGTTACTGCCGGTCTCAAGCCCGGATAAAGAAGCAGGGTTAGGCCTGGGGTTGGCGACCCCATCTTGTAGAAAACTAACTCGCTAAAAAAACGCTAACCAGAAAGTAGGTGATCTATCAATTCTGAATCCAGTTTACGTTTTAAGTGGTCGTTAACGATATATTTCTATATTAAATAATCTGTATATAAGTATGTCTTTTGGGTATGTACAATAACTCATGTTTGTTGACAAGTTATTCTACTTTTAGATATCCGTTTATAAAGGGATATTTGATCAATGAATCTAAATTTGTAACTATTTATTACTCGGGCAAAATCAGTTAACATGATTGGTCAAGCATGCATGGTACACACAAATTCAGTTGTTACATATTATTAATATAGTTATTATGATAAAAATTCAAACGTAACTAATGTTTCCAGAAGAAAACAATTCTCAATTTATCATTGTCAACAGAGTAAACTACATTTTGTATTCCCTTACTCCTAGTGAATTTAGTTCCATTAGTATTATATATATAAACAAGTTTTTTGTTCAATAAAAAAGACAAATCGTTTTTGATATTGATTATGGACATAATTAGTTGAAACATAAGATCAAATAAAGGATTAATCGAGGCGTTTCTTCTCTGTTTAGTTCTCATCAGTATTGCTCATCCTCAATATTACAAGGGATTTAACCTAGAACTGGTTTCAATACCTTTAAACCATTCAGTCATAATTCAGCCCTCAACATTTGATAGTAATAGTATGATTTTTACTCAATATTATCAAAATAATTTCCAACTGATAATTTGTTCAGCGGTAGGATATTTAGTTATGAGCTGTTATCTCTGAATGACATTCTATGCATGCATTCAAATAAGGCGTATCATTCCTATTAAAATTCTAGATACACTTTGCTAACGAGTGCCGTCAACTACATAGTATTAACAATATAGTGAAAGTTAGAGATTTAAATACAAAAACAAGAAATCATCTAACAACATGAATAAATCTAGATTTCTTGAACTTTTTAAGTATTCTCAATTGAAATGTTGACTAAAGTAAACAGAAGCCATGATCAACCAACTGGAATGAAAATAATTGTTTTTTAATTGAGATAATGAACCGATTGACGTTAGACCACCGTTGGAAACCTGGAAGCACTGCACGACCGTTTCGTCCTATTCTGGGACTCCTCAGCAGTGAGTATCCACGATCCCGATCGCGAAGTTCGAAACCGGGGCCTTCAAGTCTCGCGCGCGAACGCTTAACCTACTGAACCACTGGGCCGGTCGGCATCCAATGGTGTCAATGTCTGACATCAACCAGTCCACCAAATTGAGCTACACATCCACCATTGTCTTCAGTGACTTACTGCCAGGTTTCCAACGGTGGTCTAGTATCAAACGGTTCATGATCTCAATCAGAAACTTAATGATCTACACAACCCTATACTGATAATTGTTTTTTAATTAACTAAGAAATAATCAATATGATTTCAATAATTGACGGAGAAAGGAATAATTTTACTGAAGGATTCATTGTATACCAGAATATGATTACCGAAAATATTATATATTTCTTAATTTGATGCCGTAATGTAACTGTCATCTTTAATAAAAGACAGAACACACCATTACGTTCCTATGAGCACTCTTGAACAATGTAAAATTTCTATACAGTGTGAAAACAAGTATATATATATATATATATATATATATAATGATCAAAGGTAAATTAACCGTTAAAGGATAGTAAACTTGCATAATTTTGCTGAATGAAGTATATAGTTAAGAAAAAAAACAACTTAACACATAGAAACAAGATTATAAAATGAAAGAAACAACAATTTCCAAAACTACAAAGAAAGATCATCAACACAACAATAACAACAACAACAACGAAGACGGCAACAATGGGGGGGAGAATAAAGTGAGTATAGAATAAAAATGATAGGTCATTACATTTTGATAAATATATAAACAACTAACAAAGTGTTGTTAAAATGTGAACAAGGAAAAAGATTCATAGTAAAACGATAGATTTGATAATTCTCAATATCATGAAATAGCAAAAATAGGCAAATAAATCAATGAAAATGAATTACTAGTTAATTCATCTAGTTAGAATGTTAATAATTTCGTACGAGATGGGCAATGTTAAAGAGTCTCATATTAGGAAGGAACAGTCGTTCAGTGATTTCAGGTCTTCAATGATGATCTAGCTTAGTTCGACTTATGAAAAGTATTACCGACTTCTACAAATCACCATTCTGATAATAATCATATACTCACTAGTGGCTAGCTTCAAAATGGATTTCCTGGAGTTCTAGTGAGAAGTCATGACCAGTGAAGTCTAATCCGTGTCGGGTGGAGACAATTATCCATTTCAGGCAAGGGATAAGGGGTTGTACAAGATCATGAATTGATTGGAGTTGGACATTACCACCGTTGGATGCCGTCTGGAAGTTAGGCGTCCGCACGAGAGACCAAAAGGCTTGAATTCACGTCCTACATGCGGGCTCATGGATGAGTACTGCTGAGGAGTTTCACATTTGGACAAGATGGCCGCCTAGTGCTCCCGCGCTTTCCATGATGATCTAGCTTAAACTGACTCATGATATCAACTATTAAAATTTTATACGTATTTAAAATATGATAACTTTTGTGATAACACTTAACAATGAATAAAAACAATCTTTTGATTTGATAGTACACAGGCTGAAGATCTTTTATGTACTAAATCAGTATATGTTACACTTAAGGTTATTTTAAAATAAACAAGGAAAATTAGTTTCTTCTTATGATTTCTAATAAATCTATGTTATTTATTATTTACTTGAAGACATAGATATTGGTACAAGGAGGCACCAAATATATATGCGCCGCACAAATCAAATGAGATTTGTGCGAGGGTTGTGATATTGCCCGGCTGCTTAAACCGAAGCAGGAATAAATCTATGACTGAATATCAATTAAAACCATGAACTTATTAGTACACTTCGTATGGTTATTATTTGTCATTCTAATTTTTTTGAATCGGTGGTGTTATGATGTATGATAATAAATTGCAATTTTGTACAATACACTACAGTGATACGATTAATTGTCCTATTCATATTTAGTTACCGATCAACGATGAATCAGAATGAACTTTCTATAACACTAAAAACTGAAAACCAATGTAATGTTTGAAGTATGTGAATAAAATTGATGTGATATCATTGTGTTCAATTCAGTCGTTGATATTAAAGAGTATCATCTGAGCATCTAAAACTGAATAAATTTGTGAATAATTTTACACTACTCAATAGTAGGTATATATTTACTTTGAAAGAAACCATCTTTCATAAGCTTTATGGTATTAAGTATATTAGTAAAAAATAAAACTTACCAGTTCCAGTTGGAGTAACACGATTAACTAACCCAAATTCCAATGCTTCATTAGCATGCAATTCACGTCCAGTTAATATCATATCAAGAGAACGAGATAAACCTATTAATCCTGGTAAGCGTACTGTACCCATATTCATCATTGGTATACCTAATTTTGGAATGTTAAAATAATTTACATATTTGTATCAATAATATAAAGTCAATTCTCATAGAGATTGGAATATCAGATAACGCTTATATAGTAGATGTGATTCATATCCTACTAGTAAACGAGTATATAATAAACAATCTATATTTTCACAATACTTTGTGAAGTTTCACAGATTCCGAGTTTCTTTTTAACCATAAAATTAATCGAATTGTATAAATTTACAATAAATCCCAAATATTTGTTAGTCACTTATAATTCAAACAGATCTTAAATTAGCAGATTATTTTTTTCCTATGCGAGTTACATATATGTATCTTTATTACTTACTTACACTTGTTACTCCCAATGGATCATAGGCCGCCGACCAGCATTGTCCAACTCTGCCTAGAGCTCCTCTGGGGCTACTGCATGTCCCAAACCCGGTCAAAGGAGGAGGGCTGGACATTACGTTAGCGACCCCATCCTGTAGAAAACTAAATCGCTAAAAAATCGCTAACCAGAAAACATAATTCAAACCATATATCTTTGTTAACTGTCTTTTAAATAACTACGAGCTATTAGGAATACGTTACTATTTACAAGTAAAGACATTTAATTTGTTTCAAAACTGACAACAGGATAGTTTATCAGGAATTTTAAAGCAGTAGTAGCCTACCGGTTAAAGGATTCACTGTACAACTATACGGTTGAATTTTCCATCGCTGTATAAACAAGTTGAATCTAGTTGACCAACTAGTACCACCATGTTATAACTTGTGTCCTGTGTCCTTATTCAATGTATAAGGTAATGATACCACCAATTGGAGAACAGTGATTTACCGAATCAGCGACGCATAAAACCTGTACGAGAAGTCTAGAGTACTTATCGATCCTGTCTCCAACCTAGCCCTGCCTATTAAGTCCAAAACACCGATCTCAGCCTCTGTAATATGAATCACTTTATTTCAAACATTCTAGGTTTACATACCAATCAGACAGACCACATCGTACCATAAAATAGGAAACAATATTCATACAAGATTTAGCCAAATGTGGCTGTGAATGAGGGAGATAGAATTGATACATTAGGAATAACTCAAGAATGGTAAATCGTGTAATAATAGTTCATAGGTCAAAATAAAGCTCACGATAAGAGGAACAGGAATATGAATGGTTTAGTTATTTGACACTTATACGATAAAAATATTTATTTATTTATATATTTGAACACATAAATATTGGTACACAGGGGGACCAAATATATATGCGCCACACTTTGTGTGTGGGCTGTGATACTGACCGGGTGCCCAAACCGAACCAGGTGGTTTTCTTAGAGGGCCACACCCCGAGCCTTCGACCTGAACGTCTGACCCACAGGGCAGTGGAGCATCGTGAGTAAATGCAGTCCCATGGTAGCCGGTGACCAACGATTGGTTCATATGCCATTTCTTCCATCAGGATACTGGAGCCCATGTGCACCATTGCTTTGGGATCCGGTTAAAGCGCCGGACATTCGCTTTTCGTCCTCCCATTTTCGTAAACAACAAATGTTTTCAATAACTTCATCATCAGGCTCTACAGTTATAAGTCGACAATTATTGTGATATTTTTAAAAAGGCCAAAAATAAGGCATGTATTAATGAAATTTGACAATGTTGTGTTAAAAATGGTGAACGTTTGCATCTGTTACGATATATATATACTTCAAAATTGTATTATTTGCAAATTAGAAAGGTCATTCAATAAAGGTCAGGAGGATTAGGAGTAAAGTGTTCAGTCACAATAAGTGGGATCAGATTGTTCGAAATGTATTGCGCTAATATATCATCACATAGTTCTGATAATCTCCGTTTTCTTATTAAATTATCGAAATTTATCAAACAGACTAATTACTTTCAAGTATAATAGTATTATAGCAAAATTGAAAATGCAAAAAAATTTTGTGTAAATAACATGCATAGTACGAGAATTTAATCTTGTCAGTTGAGATGATAATAATAATAAGATTGTTGTGTGAATATAATATGTAATAAGGAGGGTGTTATCAAAGTAATTACGATCAACGAATTGGGAATGATAGAGGTAATCAAAAATAATGATAATAAGGAAAATAAATAAAAATAAAGGAAGGGGGTAAGAGGTTGTAGTGTCTGTCATTATTTTAAGCCCAAATACCTTATTATTCTAACTTTCGGACAGCTCATTCTATTCATTCCATTTGAGTCACATTCTGACCTTGTTAATTATTCGCTTATCAATGTCTTGACTGTCTTTGTATGAGCGCGTTGGCGTATGCACACTTCTTATCCCGTTACTCATAACATGTCCGTAATTTATTTTTGTGGGCTTATAAATATTGATTAACTCTTTGTTAAAGGGAGAGTTGGCTTACCAGCCATCTCCACCGCTCGTCAATTTTGCTTCGCTTTCTTCTTTTCGCGTCGTTCTCCCGTTCGTTTGTCTAATCAACAATTATACAAAATATATGCATTCAAAACTCCATTCTCGTTATTTGACTTATTTAATTCCGTTATTAACTAACGCGATTTAAGTCAATGAATATATACGAGGATAGACGATAGCAACCAATCATTACGATCAAATTGGAGTCAGATCACGGGCCACTAAACTGGTGATCCGCCACCACAAACTAACACAAAAGTCTACTAAAATGGTAAGCCCGCCGACGACGAACTTAACGCAACCCTGCGATAACGGCCACCCACGAATGTGGTGAGCTGACAACGACGAACGCAACGCAGCAAGCTACGTCGATGAAATTTCTGCACATGATACTTTCGACGAACAAATTCAGCGAAGCGAGCACAATCTCTAGTCCGACGCACTCAGCAAGGCCTGTGCATCACGACATGGACATGCACAAATCGTATTATCTTATCGATACTATGTCCTCATGTCAACATTTCTCATTGATCCATTTGTCGGAATGTTCCATTATGATTCAAATTATCATCATATGCTTATTCTAACGTTATCATATTATGAACGAATGTGGGATTATTAATTTTGTTCGCGCTGACATTAAATTATGACATTTACGCAGCCATATCACTCACCGAACAAATTATCATTTTATGAACACACCACTCCATGTTATGACATTCGAAACTCAGCAACGTAAAATCACCTACTTTAAGTGAGTTCGTTCCAATTTTTCTATGTCATTTATGGTCTATTACCACATTCATTCACTTAGTCGAGGTCATATTTTATGTTATCATAACATACATTTTTCATTTCGAAATCACTTCTTATTATGTCTGTGGATGCTTTTAACTACTAGCTGATTGGTAAAGATTACATTCATCTTATCTATTCGTCCACATGTATAATCACATGCTGCAACCTTCATTACTCCGAAGTATTATTCGAGTACTGCAATTACTATTCTATTCCAATCGCATTGTATACCAGAATATAGAGTTTAGAGTCGGTCTCTCAAAGATACACTCTTGTTCGTCTCATCCAAGTCAGTTTCGTACGACGCCATCGCTAATCATATGTATTAGTATTTTTATCATACCTTAAGTATGGTTTTGTAACAAACGAGGTCGAGCGCATCTCCCTCAAACCACACAAACCAATCGAGGCTTCACGACCAAAAAGGAATACGACTCTATGTATCTCGTCTACTCAGTCATTATTCTGTTCCTCTGGTCATTCTACTGATACATATTTAACGATAACTCGATGCATTTATCATAACGCAAACGACAACGTACTCTGACCTCGCATTTAATGATTATTATCAATTGCAGTACAGCAACGAATATCACCCGTCGATGCAGTTATCGTTTCACGACATGACTATTCTTATCCTACAAACGGGAACTCTACGTATTTAAATTCGAATCCACCCATCGCTAGTCGGTGCTTTTCACTCTTCTGCGGCTCATCAGAACATTTTCATATTTCACTATTCTGTCAGCAACACAGTCCAATTTCTGTCATATTCTAATCTACTTATTTTCACAATTTATTTCACCGTCATACCCACAATCGCATGCTAATGTTTCCATATAGTCCGCGCCTTAACGATATTCATGTATTCTTTTACATAACTATGACACTTTCACATAAAACACTCACCCCTCATGTGACACTGTACTTTATCGGGTGTTGTACAATTTTTTTTTCGCTACTTAATGTTAACGTTAGCCACACATCACTTCAGTGTTATTTTCGAAAACAGACATTTTTTAAATGTGCTATTTTCTACAAGGAGGCTATGTAGTGTCTGTCATTATGTTAAGCCCAAATACTTTATTATTCTAACTTTCGGACAGCCCATTCTATTCATTCTATTTGAGTCACATTCTGACCTTGTTAATTATTCGCTTATCAATGTCTTGACTGTCTTTGTATGAGCGCGTAGGCGTATGCACACTTCTTATCCCGTTACTCATCACATGTCTGTAATTTATTTTTGTGAGCTTATAAATATTGATTAACTCTTTGTTAAGAGGGGAGTTGGCTTACCAGCCATCTCCACTGCTCGTCAATTTTGCTTCGCCACTAAACTGGTGATCCGCCACCACAAACTAACACAAAAGTCTACTAAAATGGTAAGCCCGCCGACGACGAACTTAACGCAACCCTGCGATAACGGCCACCCACGAATGTGGTGAGCTGACAACGACGAACGCAACGCAGCAAGCTACGTCGATGAAATTTCTGCACATGATACTTTCGACGAACAAATTCAGCGAAGCGAGCACAATCTCTAGTCCGACGCACTCAGCAAGGCCTGTGCATCACGACATGGACATGCACAAATCGTATTATCTTATCGATACTATGTCCTCATGTCAACATTTCTCATTGATCCATTTGTCGGAATGTTCCATTATGATTCAAATTATCATCATATGCTTATTCTAACGTTATCATATTATGAACGAATGTGGGATTATTAATTTTGTTCGCGCTGACATTAAATTATGACATTTACGCAGCCATATCACTCACCGAACAAATTATCATTTTATGAACACACC